CGTGGAGACAGACATAAAGAGACGCTGTACACACGATCACACTCCCCAAGCGTACTCTACAAACCGGGTCTAGGTACCCTTGCCCCTGGAGGGGGGGGAACTGCACCCAGACCCTACCTCCCTAACTGAATTAAACAGGAGATAATAATACAAGAAATAATAAGGCAGCTCACCCCTTCTGTTTCAGTGCTTATTTACAAGTAAAAACTAATTTACACACTATATACAAATTCCGTGAATCTCAGGAATAACACACAAATCACAGGGTTTGGAAGCCAGGGTCAGGTCTGCCACATGATGAGAGGACTCCAACTCTATCAAGACAATCTTCCATTCCAGGAAGAGGAGAAGAGTCAGGTTGGGTCACACTGTTTACTTTTCGAAAATCGTGGGGTTTTGTAAACCTTTGGTACAAGAAGACATGGGGAACTCCATGCACTGGAACTCAGGACAGCTAGATTATTTTCCAGCAAGTAGGAAACTTCTTGCTGAAAAAGTGCACATTTGGTAGGGTTCACACAATAAGCGTGTTTTTTGATCTGAGCAATGTCACCTACATCTATGTCATGTTTAAGGACCGTAGTGCGAGACGAAGGGTCTGCAAACAGGAACGGATGGTCTTTTATAAGATAGCACATATCGTTCTGGGCAGCGTCATCCAAATGTTTTAGGTGGGATTTTAAATTGTCTAATATTTCAGAGTTTCTGAGTCGGGAGCAACCCTCAGCACAAATGAAAACTAAGCCATCACTTTCTGGATTATACTGAAACAAAGACACTGGTACCACTAAGGGCAGAGACGAGGGCACAGCAGGGGATGAAGAGGAGTTTACACCGACACTGTAAACAAAATAAGACTTCATCAGGTAATTCAGCAAATATTTTGAACATAAAATTTGACCCTTGGTCCGTTTGAACAGATTTTGGAAAACAAAGTGGAGAAAAAAAAGTGGAGAAGCTAGCGCTCTGACAACAGCTTTGACTTTGAGAGTGCGTAACAGAATAGCCTTGGGGAAGCGTGTGGCGGTGCACATCAAAGTCAAAATATACTGATGTCCTGACTTTGTTTTGGGAAGTGGACCTACACAATCAATGAGTATGTGCTCAAATGGTTCCCCTGAAGTTGGGATTGGATGTAATGAAGCAGGTGGAATAACTTGGTTTGGTTTACCACTAACCTGACAAATGTGGCAGGAGTGGCAGTAAGTTTTTCTAATTCCTAAATGTCCGGAGAAACTGTCATGTGCAAGACTGAGTACCTGGGGTTGGAACTTTTGCGTTACAACTATCTGTTGAAAAACATTCCAGTCAAGATCATTAAATGAGGGAGGGTGCCATTTACGCATTAACATGTCATTTTCAATGCTGTAAACTCAGGGATTTTGATCGCTGGAATTCGCAGCAAGTAGACATTTGGCCAGAGTTGGATCATTTTGTCTCAGGATCATCTTCACAGCATAGAAAAGAGTCAGACAAGTCAACATCACCGTATTTGCACTTGTGCACACGTGTGACAACACAGGCAAGCAAGACCTGAATGGCAGCAGGAATGGTGATGAGCAATCAGCCACCGTTAGCTCTCCAATCAGGAAGGACCTGTAGATTCTTAAAGACATAGCACAGAAGAAAACTCTAGCCGGCCAGGGCCGTAACACTGATAAAGGACCAAAGCAAATCTTTTTTTTTTTTAACCTTAACATTGACATTTTTCTGCATGAAATAACACTGCAAAGTGCATTGGGATGTAATAAGCTGATAATATTAATAATATTAATATTAATAATAATAATAATAATAGATTGCATTTATATAGCGCTTTTCGAGACCCTCAAAGCTCTTGATCATTTTGTAGTTCACCGTCTGGACACTGAACACCACAGATGTAGATGTATTGTAGGCAGATGCAAGGTGTCATCATGTGTTTTTTTGTTTTTTTAGGTGTATTCGTAGTTTTCTCCTCAGAAAATATTCAGCTGCTCCTCAAAGATGCTCTTTCTTGCTACTGGTATTGTAAACACACAAAGGCCATTTTTTAAATAAAACTCTTCAACATAAAAATATGAATCTGACTTTTTTTTCTTTCTTTTTGCAATGTACAGAGCATATGTATAATATGGTCAGTACAAGAACACACTTTGGTACAGAACCATCACTGACCTGTTAGTTAGACTAGTGGAGTCCAATAAATGAATAAACAAATAAGTGTATAAACTGACACAACAGATTTATTATAGCACAGTTGTGCTTGTTTTAATCAGGATGATCATCAAACAGCAGAAGAAGAAATCTTTGGCTTGTATTTATGTGCAAAATGGTTCTAATTCCTTCATGATGTCTCCACAGAACTGATCAGGAGAGTCTTCATCATGCCCAGCAGCATCAAACCAATCTGGACTCGGTGTTTAAGGTTTGTACATGTACACCTACCTCTTTTTTTTAACCCTTTAAGACCTACCATAGAACCAAGTCCGCCAGAGCTTATATTATATTTTTACATGCTGTGGAGCCATTTTTGGGAGCATTTCAAGTTGCTATACATCAATACAACCATTATAGCCTAGATTTTAATAATAT